CTTCTTCTATATTCTCTCTTCTCTTCTATATTCTCTTCTATATTCTCTTCTATATTCTCTTCTTCTATATTCTCTTCTCTTCTTCTATATTCTCTCTTCTCTTCTATATTCTCTTCTATATTCTCTTCTATATTCTCTTCTTCTATATTCTCTTCTCTTCTTCTATATTCTCTCTTCTCTTCTATATTCTCTTCTATATTCTCTTCTATATTCTCTTCTTCTATATTCTCTTCTCTTCTTCTATATTCTCTCTTCTCTTCTATATTCTCTTCTATATTCTCTTCTATATTCTCTTCTTCTATATTCTCTTCTCTTCTTCTATATTCTCTCTTCTCTTCTATATTCTATTCTATATTCTCTTCTCTTCTAAATTCTCTTCTATATTCTTTTCTCTTCTATATTCTCTTCTATATTCTCTTCTATATTCTTTTCTCTTCTATTCCTATATTCTCTTCTCTCTCTTCTATTCTTTTCTTTTCTATTCTAAAGTTTGGAAGATGGGATGGCTTACTGGAGAGCTGTGTGGTTCAGTCATGGCGGGTGCTCTGCTGGCCAGTCTTTGAAACCCCATTTTTGCCAGGATAGGCTGTGGGATTTTTACCCAAAGCAGCAATCAGGATTATTCTAAATTATGCTTTCCCCCGCCCCTTGGACTATCATGCCCCCTTCTAAGAGGAGGGTGATGGGCAGGCATGGTGGGCCAGGGTTGGCATTGCCTTCCCTTTCTCAGAGGCTCTCCTGATGGGCAGGCCCGTGGAGAATAGGACCACAGCCAGCTCCACAGGCTCCCATTTCAGAGGCCTCCAGCCAGGCCCTTACAAGGAGCTCCCCACCCACAAGGCCCAAAGGCAAGGCGAGCCCAGTGGAGCTGAAGGGAGAGAAATGTGGGGGGGGGGGTGGGAATGGGTGTCATGCCACCTGGCCAAGGAACCCAGGAGAAGCAAAGCTGCGGCCAGGTGGATCAGGGCTGCTCTAAGCATGTCAGAACGGTGGCAGGAACTGGGTAGGTCTAGTTGAATGAGAAGAAGGACCAGAGGAGACAGGATAGCAGTATCTCAGGGGCTGCCACAAAGAAGAGGGAGTCAAGCTATTCTCCAAAGCACCTGAGGGCAGACAAGAGGCAATGGGTGGAAACTAATGAAGGAGAGAAGCAAGCAACCTAGAACTAAGGAGAAATTTCCTGACAGTGAGAACAATTAGTGGGGCAACTTGCCTCCATAAAGTTGTGGGTGCTCACTGGAGGCTTTCCGAGGTTGATAAAATGAGGACCCAGATTGTTGGGAGTAAGAGGCTGACTCTGTAAACTGCTTAGAGAGGGCTGTGAAATACTGTGAAGCAGGATATATAAGTGCTCGCCCTTCCTTCCTTCCTTCCTTCCTTCCTTCCTTCCTTCCTTCCTTCCTTCCTTCCTTCCCTCCTTCCCTCCCTCCCTCCCTGTGATTAGAATGCAGTATTGCAGGATAACTCTGCCCACTGCCAACAGTTCAATCCTGATGGGCTGCAGCTTGACGTCTATCTTTCCAAGGTTAATAAAATGAGGACCCAGATTGTTGGGGGCAAGAGGCTGACCCTGTAAACCGCTTAGAGAGGGCTGTGAAGCACTGTGAAGCAGTCTATAAGTCTAAGTTCTATTGCTATTCCTTCCTTTCTTCCCTCCCTTCCTCCCTCCCAGTGATTAGAATACAGCATGGTAGGCTAATTCTGCCCACTGCCAACAGTTTGATCCTGACAGGTGTTGTTGTTGTTGTTGTTAT